AGAGGAATAACATGACCTGACCAGTGGTTGGGGAACACAGTTCTCCGGCTCAGAGGATGCGCTGGAGAGGCGAGAGGAAGACGGTCTCCAGCACGTCCTCGGGGGGTAACAGGGCAGGCATGGGCAGCACGGGAGGTAGTGCAACGGATGGGAAATTGTGAGTGCTGGCAGGTGCCCCTCAAGTTTCTAGAGTCTGGGATCCCCTTGTTGCCTTTCAAGGCAGAGCACCCACGGGAAGGCTTGAGTGGAAGAGGATGTTAAGTGAAGGGACGTGGCCTGTGGGGTGTTGGTGCTAAGCTGTCCAGGAGGCAGAAGGCTGAGTCTTAAGGCCAGGGCTGGAGGTAGTTGGGAATCATCGGCATAAAAGTAAGAGGGGGAAATAATTTGCATGTAGAGCAAAATCCTACTGCAGCTTTTAGTGCCTCAGAAGTGTCAGGGCATTGATCTCCTGGGTAGAGAATGCCTTTGTTGGGGAACGCAATTTGGTTGGACATCTAGTTTAAGAAAAATAAGACTTTCCCCTGGAATACCTTAATGGGAGGGAACAACAGAGAAAAGTTAATCACTTGGTATAATAAAGTGAGAGATTCTGAATCCCATTGGAGCTTTGGATGGAGCTGGTGAGAAGCCAGCCAAGTGGGAGAAAAAGGGGACTTGAGGAGTACTAGGGAACCAGGGCCAGCGTCCTAAGGGCAGACACAGCCAATGAGGGACCCCAATGAGGAGGAAGGACCCCGACGGGGGACCTCGATGAGGAGGGACCCCGATGACGAGGAGCCCTGATTAGGGATCCCGATGAGGAGGGACCCCAATGAGGAGCAACGATAGGTCTATTTTTCAGGAGGGGGGACTGATACTCGGATGGAAGTGGCTTCCTTCTCTGTGCAGTACTTGCCCTGTGTGACCTCTAGGGCTTCCACAGGTGGCCCCACCATCAGCCTCGTGCTGGGGCACTTGGGCACCAGCGCCAGGCCCAGGAGGGCCCCTCCAGGGATCAGCAGGGGAAGGGCTGGCTCAGGAGACATGCAAACCCTCCAAGCCACCTTGAGCTTTAGTGACTCTTTTTGTAATCAATCTGCCTGAATCTGTTGAAACCCTTGGTTTCCCCCAAACCAACACAAATGCCACCTCTGTGGAGTACTCCCAGATCTCCCCAGGAGGGGATGCACGTACACTGTGCACAGCATCTGCTTCCACAAACACCTGCCTCCTCTGGTCTCCTTCTCATGTTATTTCTACGTCAGCCCCTCTTCTGCCGACTGACTCCTGAGCACTTCTGGGTGAGAAACACGCTTGTTTGCAGCCGAGTGCCCTTGCCTCTAGTGACAGGGTAGCGTTTGCCATCCACGCAAACTTGAACTATCTGGTTTTGTGAACAATATTTCTAATTGTTAAAATAACAAATCAGCATGGTTAATAATTAGTTTTGTGACCTCAAACTTGGTGAATGGGAAAGATTCTGCTTCTGGTGTGTTGACATTAATCAAACTTCTGTGCCTGCACGACGAAGGCCATACACGGGGCCAAACCCAGAATGCGGGAGTGAACCCGATGTCCGGGGGTCTCATTCTGCCTGAGTCAGCTGCTTTCCAGAAACACTCAGCACTGTGTCCCCCGGGTGGTCTGCCCAGATCCCAGCATCTGAGGAGTGGACAGCACATGGCGGGTCTAGATACCCGTCAGGGAGGGGATGCAGGGCCGGAGGAAGAGGAGTCCTGTGGACGTCAAGGACCACCCCCCCCGCCCAGGTTCAAGAGGGAGCTGTGGCTTGTGTGTGCAGAGCACTGGGAACACCGGCGGGGTCTGTGGGAACGTGTGAAGTCTGGCCCAGACGGTGCCCGGATGAGACACAAACTGAACCCCTGTCTCTGTCCGGACGTCAGACGGAGCAGGCCCGGGTCTGGCACAGGCACACAGCTCTCCTGGCCTTCACCCCGAGTCCCAGAGAGTCCCCTGAGCACAGGGACGACCTCCTACACCGCCCGAGGCTGGCCACTCCCGCAGGAAGACGTGGAAACAGCTTCACCCAAGCTGCTGCCAGGAACCCTCCAGAATCAACACCTCTGCCTCTTCTGGCATCCACGCTGGTGATGGGGTCGGCCCCAGCAGGCAGAGACAAAAGTACGGTTTCACCCAAGAAAATAACTGTTAAACTTCTCCAAATTATATTGGTAGAATTCTGGGGAGTGATGATCACTGCTCAGGTGCTGGATGATAAAGGAAGACGCGACAGTCCTGGCTCACGTAAAGCGTACCGCATTCTGGGCCTCACGATGGGCACGCCGAGGTCACTGAGTTGGCCCAGCTTCCCTGACATACTTCAGAGGAAGAGACCCAAAAGCTTTGGAATGTAGGAATATTTGGGTTGTTTTTTTTTTTTTACTTTAAAAATAAAATATTTAAAATGTTTCTTAAAGACTTTATTTATTCATGAGAGACACAGAGAGAGAGAGGCAAAGACACAGGCAGAGGGAGAAGCAGGCTCCATGCAGGGAACCCGATGTGGGACTCGATCCCAGAACCCTGGGGTCACGCCCTGAGCCAAAGGCAATGCTGCCCCGACGGAGTCACCCAGGCTCCCTAGTTTTGTTGGTCTGTAATGAGTGGCTTACTTGGTGCCCGACAACGTCTACAAGCAGTAGGCACTGAAAAAGCACACTGGTAGGGGACCCGGGGCCCCTGGCAGGTGCATCGTGACTGTGCCCTTTAGGAGGGTGACAGAGGGAACTGCCACCATCTAAATTAAATTACTCAACTTCACTGGAAAGGTTGGGACTTGGTATCAGGTCCTAGAATAGACTGAAAAACAGGGGTGCACGTGGCTCCTGTAACTACGTGGGAAGGTCAGACCTACAGAGACTTTGGTGGGAGCCAGTTAACCACGGAGCCCCTCGGACAGCAATACGTGGGCCGTCCCTGACATCACCCTCTATCAGCAAATCTGTCCCTTTGGCTGGTTGACGGAGGCATCACTACAGAACCACATCCCTCTCTCCAAACTCCCAGGACTGAGCCGGTTCTAACCCAGAGCCTCTTTCGCAGAGTGATGGCAGGGTCCCCTGACCCTCCAACAAGGTCCAGCCCAGTGGGGAGGGCAGAGCAGAAACCTACAGAATGACCTCTTTCCTCCAAGAGGGTGAAAAACCCAAAGCAATACTGCTTCCGTGGGAACTGCACATGCTACTCGTATGACCTGTGCCCAAGTGACCTGTGAGGAAGGCAGCTGGGTCTCGTGAGTGGCCACGGGCTGCCGCAAACCTAACCAGGTCACGGCCCCCACTGCAGGCGCTGCCCCAGATGTGGTTCCTCCAGGGGAACAGATGGCCTGCAGCTACTGCTCTGGTGCACATCCGTGAACACCTGCCACAAAACCCGCCAGAGCAGCGTGTGTTCGCCTGTCAGGGACAGTGGTCACCCTCGGTTCTTCCGTTCGTTGTGGGACATCCTGTGGGACATGCTGACAGCTCAGCCACTGATGGTGTGTGTCACAGGAAGAGGGCACCCTCGATGCCTGGATGATACACAAATGCCGAGGGGAGGGGCTGCCTTCAAGTTTGCAGGGACCAGGCGGTCAGGGACCACCCATACCCCCTGCCACGAGATTGGGCTCTGATGTGGGCACGCCACCCGGACCCGTGCCAGCGAACCCGTACCACCACCAGTTTGCACGAGGTCGGGAATGTGAAAACACTGGATAGCAGGTTGAGGCGAAGGCTGTTCCCCTCAGACCCCGAGGCACAAAAGGTGCCCGTGGCAGGGGAGATGCCACACGGAGCCGCAAGCTGGGCCCCGCACAGGCCCCTAGGGCTCGGGGACAGAACCACGGCGACTACATTGCATGTAGCTATGCTCCTTCTGCCCCCTGGCTGCCCTCCAGGCCCCCGCACAGACCTGGAGCGGCTCCTGGTCAAGCTGCACCTGCAATGGCCCTCCTTGAGCACCCAGGCTCCCAGAGGCTCCTGTGGTCTGCTGCCAGTAACGAAGCTCTGTCTGATTTCTGGAAAATGCCGCTGGCCCCATGTAGGGCTGATGGCAGGTAGCATGAGGGCCCAAGGGTGACCCTCCAACTGCGGGAGGGAGGGGCCATGGCAGGCCGAGCGCCCCCTGTACTTGTTCACTCTGCAGGACGGTGGGCCTGGCAGGAAGCCGGCAAGGGCAGTCAGGGTCTCAGCAGGGGCAAGGCCAGGAATGGCAAGTGGCGTCTGAGTGGTGGGCGAGGGCCAAGGAAGAGGTCAGCAGCTGGACCTCCTGAGACGAGCGGTGTGCAGGCGTCGTACCCCAGGGCGCTCACCCCTGGCATCACAAAGCCTCACTCGCCCTGGTTCTGACAGCGATGCTTCCAAGAGGTGCGCCTCCCGCAGACGGAAGTGCCAGGGCCCCTGCTCCCCCGGCAGTGCGGGCCATGGACGATGCCCACCTTGGAAGTGGAGGCCCGGATGCCGATGCCGGCTCGCCAGCCGGAGGACGCCTGAGGGTGGCGTCCCTCCCCCTAAGGCAGCCGCTAGCATGTCTCACAACCCTGAACTCTGCTGGTTTGAGCATCTGCTCCTGAGGAGCAACTGCCCCACGGAGGGACGCGTGTCCCACCAGCCTGTGCACCGAGAGCCCCGGGCCGCACCGCGCGCCTCCTGCCCGAGAACCACAAGGCAAAGCGGGGCTGACTGTACCGCCCGGGTCACAGCTCCCACACCCTCAGGGACAGGTCGGCAGCAGTCGGGGGCGGGGACGAGTGTGCTGGGACGCAGCTGGCCCTGGGGAACCCCCCACTACTCCCTGCTCCAGTGATCAGAGCCAGAAGAAAACTAGCTGCTCAAACCAGAAAGATGTTCCGGACAGAGCCCTTTCAGGAACGAAGTCTGGGTCACCCTGCCAGGTGCGGAGCGACCACCACCAGAGGTGAGCGTCTGAGGGCAGAGGAAGAGAATGAGCAGCAGAAGGGGGTTTAATACCGACCCCGCCCGCTCGGCAGGCCCCAGGAGCTCCAGGCTCTTCACGTGCTCGTAAGTGCACCCATTCTTTATTTCCCCTTTTCCATCCTAGCTCCAACAGCAGGAGGGTAGAGAGGCTAAGCCCATAAACTATCACCGAGATTAGTCTGTCCAAGGGAGGTCGTGACCACACTGCAAAAGAACGTGTCCCAGGAGCAGCGGCTTGGACACGTGGGGTTTGGGGCCGCTTCCTGCCCCAGGGGAGGCTGCACAGAGGGGGTGGAGGCTCGGTGCCCCGTCCTTACCCAGGAGCTTGGTTTACAAGGGGGTGAGGGGTGGAGTTGGCAAAGCGATAGATGGGACGTGCTGGAGTGTGTCGTCCCGCAGCACCACCCCTTCCCCTTGAGGTCTCCTTGGCCCTGCTCTCCGACAGCAGAGAAGCCAGAAACACACACGGTGGAGCCGTTCCTGGGACCGGATGTGGGCTGGAACCCGCGAGGCAGGTCTGGACGGTGGAGGGAGGCCACAACTTGCTGTGCATGGCCTAGTGCACAAGCACACCTGAGGTCTGAGGCAGCCTCATGGGGTCCTGAGGGCTGCCACCCCCGAGACGACGGCACGTGCTTCCCAGATGTTCCAGGCAACTGCAGCGGCTCCGAGAGCCGAGAATCGCAGATTCTGGCTCTCCGAGCGGGATGGAGGCGACTGCACCCGACCCCCAGTCCTCCAGCTCTCCCTGCGCCGGGCGAAAGCCTCAGACCCAGACACATGCCAGGGCCCCTGCTCCCCTGGCCACACACCGAAGGGCAAACCTGCTGCCTGGCACCCATGTCTGCCCAGCACACCCTCCCCAAGCTGTCCCGTGGCATCTGGACCGTCCAACCTCACTCTCAGCTCCAGGGATGAGGCTGCGCTGGCCCAGGCTCTCTCTCCGTGCCCCGGTGGTGGCTCAGGAGCGGCATCTATGCAGCTGGGCCAGGGGGAGCAGGAGGCAGGGTCCTGCCCACACTGACTGTTTCCAAAAGTGTCTGGAATGCGGGGGAAAAGCTCCCTCTCCTGTGGACACTGTGCCATGGTGGGCGCCAAGGTGCTGCAGCCATTTGGTTCTGGGGGGGGCCCAGCCTGAGGTTCACACATACACGGAATAGCTGCAGGGAAACGGAACTTGATCCCTGATCAAACACACCCTGGAAGCCACCCTACCTTCGGCTTTTCAATTTCCGTGCTGGTAAAGCCTCTCTGGGCTGGGTTTCCAGATGTAGCCGAAAGCATCCTGACGGTATGCGTTCTCATAAGACTCCTTTGCTCGTGGATTTCTTGGCTAAATGTACTAACATTTGTTTCTTCTCACTGAAAGCCCAAATTTTCAGCAGAGCTGTGCGGGTAAGAGCGATGGTTTCGCTCCACTTGTTCTTCTGTTGGCTGGTGTAAGCCACCAGGTTCTCCATGTACTGCAAGATCGACTTTAAGAACCTGTTTTAACAAGAAGAAATTAATTTCGTTACTGTATTATAAAATGCAACAACGATTTAAATGCACTCTTCTCCTTTCGGAATTAAAACTAAAGGACTACACTTAATTTCTGTCTGCAAATTCGAGAAAAAGAAATGCACGGAACACAGAAGCTGCGTCGTAAGCGTCTCTGGAGAGATGGGCTGCACGCCCGAGTGCCGGCTTCAACTTACTCTCAGGTCAGGTAGACGGCTGTACGTAGCGGACCGCGCTCCCGGAAACGGTAGGAGACCGTCTGGACTGAATGCCACGTGAGCACGCGATGCGCTGGGCGGGGCGCCTGCGAGCCCTGCAGCCCCGCGGTGGGGGGGCCGCTGTCCGACCCCTGGCACCCGCCCTCTGCATGCTCTGACCCAGCCGTGCTTGCAGGCGTTCACCAGCTGTTCCCGGGGACCCTCCTACTGGTGGGGGGCACATCGTGCTCCTAGGTTTTCCCCATCTGCCAAGTAGTTTAAAATGTGCCCCAACTTCTAATTCTTTTTTTTTGTTTTGTTTTTCCAACTTCTAATTCTGAATATAACAAAAGTCCCCAGATGCTTCCTGTGGAGAGCTCCTCAGCCGGGGAGGACTCTGTCTGGCAACATCACTTTGGGCCGTCGCCGTGCGGAGCTGTAGGCACGCCGTGCTGGAGGCCGGGCGCTGCTCCCACCCTGCATGCTCGGAGGACCCCCGGTCAGAGTGCCAACAGTGCCAGGGGCGGGGGGGCCCCATCTGGAACCACGGATCCGCAAGCCTCTGCACATCGGCTTCGGCCACCCTGGTTCTCACCTGGGTCCTACGTTTCTTGAAGAAAATGCATCGTGTTTTCATGTTCATTCTAAGCAGGAGGCACAGGAGGTATCGCTCCCTGGGCGGTGGTGTCATCACACAAGGTGACAGATCCTAAAAGCCTTGGCAAGTGCATCACATTTAATTTTCTGAAATGAGGCTACCACGGGTGCTAGTTTTAAAGGTTCACACACTTGCACCAAAACCCACAGAGAAAAACGAGTGAAGAGCCAACCAAGACTGTGGGGTTTTTAAAAACAAACAAGAAAAGTCAAAGAAAAGAAACCACTGCAAGTGAAAACCACTTAATTCGCCAAAATATAGTTTCAAGTCTTATAAGGACGACACACTTACTTTAGATACTGTTGATATTCCGAAGTATTCTTTCCACAAACTGCGTGAATGTTGACCAATTCCAGTGCAATCAGTAATAAAATCAGGTAAAGCACGGGAGACAGCAGCTTAATACTAAAAAAAGATGAAGTTAAAATTTGACAAACGCTCAGTATTTCGCACTTTCATCAGTGAACATTCTTTCTCAAAAATCCTTTTTCCAAGGGGGCTTAAATTCAAACTACGCAAGAGAAGGCTGCCTGCGTGGTGGTCTCCCGGGGCCCCCGCCGCGCCGTGGCCCGCCTGCCCTACCCGCTCCCTGCCCCCCAGGAGCCCGCCAGCCCCAGCCCAGCCCTCCGGCAGCAGGACGCCGCCGCGGGCTCCGGGTCGCCGTGCCTGCTGCCAGCATCCTTTCTGCAGCCTGATGTCTATACGGACCGTGCTGTCCGACTCTCACAAGAAGACACATAGAAAGGGCTCAAACATGAGAACATGTTCGGTGTCTCCAGGACACAAAGATATTCCAGTCAGAGGAAGATACTATCTTTCCCATGAAACCGGTAGAGACTCTTTAGAAAAATATACCCTGTTTGGGGAAGGATGTGACCTAACAGGCATCATTTCTAGACTGCTGGTAGGAGTGTACCTTCCAGAAGAAGCCAAGGAAAACCCGTTAAAAGCTTTATAGACACAGATACCTCTCAACCCAGAGTTACAGGAATTTGTCCAAAATGGTGATTTCCTAAAGATGTAGAACATCCTAAGAACACAACAGGTAAGAATGCTGGCACACCCGAGGTAACCTGGTAATATTTTAAATCCAAATATTCACAGGGTCGGTAGCACCCATGTTCTCATGCACCAAAATCACAACAGTATTTAAAACAGGATGTGCCGTAAGTTCCCCTGCAAGGAAGAATTAGAACGGCCTCCCAAGGGAAGGACTGCCCAGTGGGGCCTGTTCCGGACCAGAACAGGGAGCCACGCACCTGCCAAGCATGTGCAGGTAGGTCTGCCGCTGCCGGGAGCGCAGCCTTCTTTCCACCCACTGCTGGTGTCTCAGCCCCGCAGAGGCCACCACCTGGCCGGACACACGGGCACACTGTGCACTGATGTTTCGAAGCACGGTCAGCACTTCCACAACGGTTCTGGGACAGAACAGAGTGGGGACGGGGGTGCCGCAGAGTTCCCGGATCAGCTGGGGCCACCTGGGGATGAGAGCGTGGGTTCTCAGGGGCGTGTTCACTGCTGGGCCCCTCCACAGTCCGCTTGTGGGGAGCAGCGGCAGGTAACACGCCGCGTCGTTCCCTGCGGGTTCGAGTGTGCAGGGGGCACCTCAGGCCCACCAGCACCACCCAAGCGATGGAGGCCACCTCCCCGCCCTCGAGGCACAGCCACCGTTGGATCGAGTGCTGCCCCAAGCTCGCCAGCTTTGACACAGAAAAGGGGAGTCTGGGGCAGTTCTCAGAGACTCACGTCTCAGCAGGAAGACCGTCCCCGTCACTGACAGCACCGTGGCTCTCAGGCAGGTGGTGGTACAGCTCTCGCAGGATTTCTGTGATTAGAGACTTACAGGCACATGCTTCGGAAGTACCTTCTAATCTGAAAAACAGAAGATACGGGGATCCCTGGGTGGCGCAGCAGTTTAGCGCCTGCCTTTGGCCCAGGGCGCAAACCTGGAGACCCGGGATCGAATCCCACGTCGGGCTCCTGGTGCATGGAGCCTGCTTCTCCCTCTGCCTGTGTCTCTGCCTCTCTCTCTCTCTCCTCTCTCTGTGTGACTATCATTAATAAATAAAAATTTAAAAAAAAAAAAACAGAAGATATGTAGACACATGACCATGAGGCACATGCCCATTCGGGGCCTGTGCACGTGTTTAAGGGTTCACTGAGCAACGCACTTAATCTACAACTTTGTTTTCCCCAAATATGAAAAGAAAAAACCACTGTCGGGGCAGTGGTAAAAATAAACTATAGGATATATTAAAAGCAATAAATTGTTGACAAAAGACAAGCAACAAATCACCGAATTATTATTCCTTTGGGATGAATCTGCTATATCCTGATTCCAAAATCTCTCTATGCCCCCTTCTCTCCAACCTTTAGATCCTATTTCTAACCATCCACTAAATATTTCTAGAGGACCCCTCCCCTTCCCACAAGGCCTGCCTCTCATCTCTGTGGGCCCGGTCTCCGCAACGGCCCACCACTCGGCTGGGCTGCCAGCAGGGAGACGGCTCCGTCCGCACCGGCACCGCGGCCTAGACCCCTGTGCCTGGGCCGCCCGTGACCTGGCCGAGGCCTCACTCGGAGGTTCACCAGGGACCGTGAGGTCTACACGACCCCCCACAGAACTCACCTGGCTGCCTCCCCGGCCTCCTGGGGCAAAGGCAGGAGGGGCCACACCCTGATGCTCTTCTCACAGCTCAGCACCTGAGAGGGAGATGTCCTACTGGTGTTACAGACTTTACAGCAAGTCTGGAAACAATGTTCGCAAACCGTTAGCAGCAACCACTCTCCAGAAGACACTCTGGGTAAAATCGTTACACATCTTACAACATTTGAAACCCCAGTTATTCCCTGGGACACTGACAGGAGATTAGGAGGATGTTACCACGTGGCCCGTCCTGTCGGGAGCGGCCTTCACCCGGACGACACGGTGGACGTGAGGGTGCGGGACTCTGGAAGCCAGGTAGGACGGCCCGGGAGGCCCTGCTCCACCTCTCTCCACAGATGAAGCACCAAGCCAGGGAGCCCACCCCAAGTTTCTGACTCATGAAACACTGATGACACCACTGACAGCAGGTAATTTATGCAGCAGCAATAAGCAGAGCAATGACCTTAAGAAGAACGGGATGCAAGGCTGCCGAATGAGAACTGAATCCCATGGCGGGAATAAGGCTGCAGGAGAGGGTGATGGTCTGAAAGACCCCCTGTGGGAAATACCCCCGTGGGGCATGGAGGGGCCTCAACCAGGCCGTGGAAGCAGCAGCCGAGGAACAGGGGGCCTCGTGAGACCAGACTCAGCTGCGGAGGTCTACGGGCAAAGCCTCCCTTCCAGAAGCTTCTCTTCCTTCTGGGACGTGCCCCCTTCCTTGCCACGTGCCCCCCTCCGTCCTCTCTGTAGGGCAGAGTCCTGGTCCTCCCTTCCAATGACTGGTTCCCGGGAAGCTCAGAGTCACGACAGGCAGATGACGTACCCAGTGCCCCGCTGCTGACCCGGAGGTATTCAGGTCGACCTCCTCTCACATAGCGCCAGGAGACTAGAACACCTCCGGGCCTCTGCACCTCGACTGCTGACGACCCCTTCTAGCCATGTGACACCGTCAGACCCCATCCTCTCGGGCCATTCTTCCAGCTGCAGCTGCAGATCTCTTCCTAAACCCTGATGTGTGGATGCGACGGCTTCCGTCTAGAGGGCACGCTCACTGATAAACGTCTATGTTGGCAGGTATCCTGATTATTCTGTTCTTGGAGACGACCCCATCTTGGCCCTTGCACGTTCACATCCTGCTACGTGGAGAATAAAGGACCCAAGCTAATTTCCACCCTGGAACCTGAAAGTCCGTGTTCTGCTTGTTCTCATTCACAAGTGAACAAGCGCTGGTCTCACGTGCCATCCTTCACCACGGCACACGGAGCGGGAGCAGTCCCGAGTCAAGGCCGTACCGCGTGACCCAGTCACCACTCCTCCCGTGCTAACATCACGAGAAACAACAAATGCTGCCGCGACTGCCACTGCGGGATGAGGGGCGTGAGGCTCAGAGGGACGGAGGGACGGAGCCAGCCTCGGTGGCAACCCTGAGGTCCCGCTTGCCAGACCCGTGGGTGTCTCTGCCGCAGGAGCCCCATGTGCCCCTCCCGATGGCCCATGTGCGGCTCACCTGTTTTTTAAGCTGAGAAATTGGGTGGAAGTGAGCAGTGTAGCCCTCTGCAAGAGCGACCAATGACTTTATTGCTGCCTTTTCCTGGTTCAGAGAAAACAGACAAGGGTTACTGTGACGTGTGGTCTGGCCCTGGTTTCTCCCGCTGAGTGTGAGTCACACGACAGTGCCCCAGTCTCACCAACTTCCTTCACCAAACCCCCATCAGCTGTAACAGAGCAGGACTCCTCATGGAACAGGTTTCAGACTGTGGTCAAATCATAACCAATACAAGTTTTCTAAATGAAGCCAATTAACAATGAAGACAAAGGCCGTGTGTGCTCTTTGTCCACCATCAGTGACACCAGAAACACATAAGAAGAAAAAAACCTCATAACAACTAGAAAATATAAGAACATCTCCTAAAAAACTAGAACGAAAATTTAAATTTAAAAACCAATACAACCGGGATCCCTGGGTGGCGCAGCGGTTTAGCGCCTGCCTTTGGCCCAGGGCACGATCCTGGAGACCCGGGATCGAATCCCACGTCGGGCTCCCAGTGCATGGAGCCTGCTTCTCCCTCTGCCTATGTCTCTGCCTCTCTCTCTCTGTGACTATCATAAATTAAAAAACAAAAAAAAAAAACAATACAACCAAAAGAGTCATACAGGTATAACCACATAATTGCTAAACCTGAAAATACTGAAAGAAAGAGTAAAAATGATTCTTTACAGCTGATGTAACTCTGTGGCTGGAAAGCCCAAGCCGGCTGAGTAACAACTATCGGGAACAGGAGAGGTGGCGAGTTGACAGCTGATGGCCTCGGTACACCCCTGCCAGCCGGAGCCCTCCCTACGACTCTCAACAGCACCGAGCGAGTCTCTAAACGTCCAGACACTAAGCCTCTCATCCGCTCAAGGCCCCGAGTCCTACAGCCCAGCGGAGGGTTCTGTGCACAAGGCGGCGGGCGAGCTCCACGTGGGGCAGCCACACCTCGCACGGGTGCAGGTCAGTGATGAAGCCCCGCAGCCGCCGGGACACATGGCTCCTCTGAGACCGAGGCCATGGGAGGGCGGAGGATGAGGAGGGGGGCCCGAGGGATCCCCCGGTTGCTGGGCCAACAACAGGACAAAGGACCACCCGCAGGGAGCCCAGGCGAAAGCTGGGGCAGCTCGGCCCAGCACGTGGCACAGGAGCGCCAGAGACAAAGTCTAAGGTGGACGACGGAACAAGAACGTGGACAAGCAAGGAGAGGAGGGGTCTGGCCTTTGGATGGTGCAGCCCCTCGGGAGAGGCTCAGGGAGGGAAGGCCGAGGACATGGAGACACACATTCGGGAGTAATGTTCAATATTGTAAGAACCATCAATTATCCCTAAATTAATCCGTCCAGAGCCCATTCCTGTTTGTTGCTGGGTTAATCTTGGGCTTCGTGTTTATTTTTAACTACACAGGTTTGCCTACGATCCTCATCGGGAGGAGGCAGGAGATTTGGGAAGAGACAACAGATGGGAAAGTTCCCCTACAGACATTGAACTGTCCTGAAGGTCACTACGGAGTCACAAGCCACTGCACACAGTACACTGATGTCGGTCTTCTAAACACTCTTGGGCCAACTTGCAAGACATATGTCAAAAAAAAAAAAAAATAAGAAGAAGAACAAGCGCACCTAAATTTTCTAACTCCCTCCCAGGTGAAATAAATTCCAGCTGGACCAAAGGATGTTTTTTTTTTTTTTTCCCCAAGAGAAATTTTTTTATTATTACTTTTCTTTCTTAATTGGATTTGGTGTTTCTTGCTCCTCACACACATCCTCTCTGGTGGGAAATTCAGGTTTGTGCAAAGCTCAGAGGAGATGGTGCCTGCTGGGGCATTGGCCAGCAGCATGGCCAACCTTGACCGGGGTCACTGTCCCCTATCTGGGCTTGCCTGCTCCATTTCCTGCATGTTCCCACTCCTGACCCCTGAGTGTGGCCCACCCCCTCTGCCTCTGCCTGTCCCTGGGCATCTGCAGAAGGGCCAGGCGGGATGGGGCCTTCGTAATGCAGAAGTGCCTGAGATGGTTCTCGAAATGCCCTCTTTGTCCCCCTTCTGCTAAGGCCACCTGATGCTTTCCCTCCTGCCGCCTACACAGGATCCTTGCTGGGATGGCCATCAAAGAGCCTCAAGGAAAAATTCAGCAGTTGAGCCATGCTGGAGGCCTGGGCTAATGCCTGGAGTCTCCCAGGCCTGTCCAGACCATTGCTGGCAAAACGCTAGGCTGATGATGGACCAAAGGATGTTAATTGGGGTGAAAAAAAACCCTATGAAGCTACCAAGGAAATGCATGACTATATTTATAATTTTTTTTTATATTTATAATTTTAGAAAGCAAAGTGTCTCTTAAAAATAATTCCAAGTGCATAAGTCAAAACGAAAAGGCTTCAGAACTTCAAGACAAGTAAGCAACACGCACACTGGGGGGCAAGTACGGAAAATAAACCAACGAGGCACATAACATGCACGAAATGGAGCAAAAGACATTAATAGTACACGAAATAATAGTACATTTCCAGCAAACACAATAAAAGCAGAGTAACTCAAAACAAACAGATAAAAACACATCTTCGCTTTGCTTCAGGACTCAGTTTTACCAGTTCACGGGCACCTGAGTGAACAAGGGTGTGTAGTCCGACACCAGCCAGGAGAGCTGCGCACCCGGGAACACCGGGACCCACCCCCCGTGAGGGCAGCTTATGTAAACCATAAATGAGGGTACACTGATGCGCATGTCGAGCAGCTGATAAACCAAGGTAGAACAAGTGCTACCTCCAGAACAGGTACGGCCCCCGTGGCTGCACAGCGTGCTCCTGGGAGGGCGTGGAAGCAGCGCCCACCCCCACGAGGAGGCGTCCCTGAGGGCTGTCACTTCTCCTATCATGGTCTGTGTTTTGTCTGAACCTCTGAACGTGTTTTACAGCAATCGTTACATGTATCGTTCGAAAAAAAAAAAAGATTAAAGTCAATAACTACCCTGGATGATTTGCTTGAAAATAATAAAAAGAATTAGTTTATTGATCGATGCAACTATTCCACCCAACCAATTGAATCATTCGTAAAATTTTGTGATACATTTAGTTAATCTTTTATGCTGGTTCTTTGGTTTGTGGTGTCCTGTCCCCGTTGAAGGGAATCAGACGGCACATCATCCGCTCACCTGTCACAGCAAATACATGTGCGTAATCAAGTCACAATGATGTGTTCTGACAGAGGCACACTCTCACTCCGATATATTCAAAGGAAGGGCGATTAAGGGTTAATTACCTTTCAAAATAAACTGTATTTGGTCACAGCTGAGCAAGAGCGCCCCTAAGGCCTCTCTTCCCTATATGTTACCTTAAAGGCCGTTGACACATCTTCATCGGTGAATCTGAGTAACAGCACAACAGAGAACGCAAGCAACTGGGTTGTTGCCTCTCTAGGAAATTCATGTAAGTTGAATTCCCCGTGGCTTAGATGGTCTCTCAGACGGGGACCCTCCTGATGGTTCAGGAAATCCCACAGAAACTCCTGTCGGAATATAAACACAGAAAATATGATGTTAGTTTTCTCAACTGAGGGAAGAAAGAACCGGCCGGCCATGCCTCGCATATCGGAGGAGCAGCAGGGTCGGATGACAGACGCGAGGACACGGAGCTTCAGAGACAGTTAGTGTAGGTAATACAGCCCCGGATCATGCTGGGATCTCACTGGGAACTGTCCTAACTGTGGCCACTGCCCTGGTCCCTCACTGTCCCCCCATCGCCTGGGGCAGGACTGTCCCTGGGAGCCCTGGTCTCTAACTGCCCCCCCCACAGACTGGGGCAGGACTGTCCCTGGGAGCCCTGGTCTCTAACTGCCCCCCCCCACAGCCTGGGGCAGGACTATCTCTGGGAGCCCTGGTCTCTCACTGTCCCCCCCACAGCCTGGGGCAGGACTGTCCCTGGGAGCCCTGGTCTCTAACTGCCCCCCCCACAGCCTGGGGCAGGACTGTCCCTGGGAGCCCTGGTCTCTAACTGCCCCCCCACACCCTGGGGCAGGACTGTCCCTGGGAGCCCTGGTCTCTCACTGCCCCCCCCCACAGCCTGGGGCAGGACTGTCCCTGGGAGCCCTGGTCTCTAACTGCCCCCCCCACAGCCTGGGGCAGGACTGTCCCTGGGAGCCTTGGTCTCTCACTGTCCCCCCATCGCCTGGGGCAGGACTGTCCCTGGGAGCCCTGGTCTCTAACTGCCCCCCCACAGCCTGGGGCAGGACTGTCCCTGGGAGCCCTGGTCTCTAACTGCCCCCCCCACAGCCTGGGGCAGGACTGTCCCTGGGAGCCCTGGTTCTAGCTGTTCCCCATTGCGCGGGGCAGGAGTGTCCATGGGAGCTCCAGTGTTTTAGGAATCCTCACACTGTCTTACCCACATCCCTCTGAAGGAAGAGGCTGAGGTGTCCAGGCCTGGAAGCTGACCTCCCTTCTATAGAGAAAGCACCGCTGTCCTCACAGCCGTGGCCTCTCCCTGTCCGGGGGCCTCCCTCTGCACCCCCTCTCAGATCACATTCTCTATGAAGCCGACACAGACAGCTGCTTCTCCCCTAACACCACTGGCTGGAGCAGGAAGAGAAGTGAGGACACAGGCAAGCTGCCCGTGGACAGACTGTCCTGGAGATTCAGGATGGACACACACACTGGCTCCATCATCCTAACTTCCTGATGCCAAAAATGACACGCCAAGAGTCCACAGAATCCCACTAATGTCACACAGGGACTAAAGTCTAGGCTGCTAGTAAGTCTCAGTTCAGAGGAATAAATGTAAAAATTCTCCTTATGGTCCTAAGGAGCCCCAGTAGTATCTTTGGGAGGAAATGGGGAATGGCTCTGCGTCTCTATCCACGTTCATCCAACACACTCAGCTCCTGGTCACATCGGACTTCTGCGGCTGCTCACAGGGCGAACCCGGCTCCTCCAGCACCACACTCCACAAGGAACCCAACGTGCACTTTGGGAACAGGGCAGCCGTATCAGCAGGACTCAGAACAGGACATTTAAATGGGCAGCAGGCAGCCTGGTACCCGAGCTGCGTGGGCCGCGTGCGTGGCACTGAGACAGCGCGGGAGTGGCTCAGGGGCACTCTTGTGAGCATATCACAGGCCAAGATTAATTTCATTTTGGAGAAGTGCTGATCACCTCCATAAACAGAAGGATGTCAGATCAGGAAAGGGCTAGTACTTTACCATTGTAGGCTCTCCTAGGAAAAGAGGGAGTTGATTGATTTTGCCATCACTCAAGTGTTTTGCCAATATCTAAAACACCGAAAATAAATAATTAGTATGCACACATCACATACAGAACCTTCAGAGCCAAGGACGTAGCATCTTGGTATGACATACATAGAAGCCCGAAGCACATGAAACACGGACAGCCTTAAGCACACAGCAGCCACTCGCTCAAGAAAACTTTTCTTAACCAGTATAATGATTTCAGGAATAAATGTGAATATACATGTCTTCTTAGTTGTGTGTGTATATGGGTCCTTATGTGTACTTACATGCACATATATGTGTGTGATCATGTGTATTTGTGTATAAATGTGCATGTGTGTATTTATAGGTATGTTCCTGTGTATAGGTGCATGGGTGTTTATTTGCACATACATATGTTGACGTGTACTTACACGTGTGTGTATATGTACTTATGTGGGTGTGTGTATATATCTGTGCACATTTCTGTGTTGTATGTATATTCATAGGTATGTGCATATACACATTTGTGTCTGCATGTGTTCGTGTGTAAGTGTGGGTGTGTATATGTGTATTTATGTGTACTTGCATGTGTTTATATTTGTATGCGTTCATGTACCTTCACAGGAATGTGTGTGCATGCATGCGCATGTGTGTTCTGTATGTGTGGATATAAGTATACATCGGAGTTACTTTATAGGCGCTTCTTAACTCCCCACAGAGCTCGGAGCCCAACCACCCAATCCAACCCTATAGACCCTAATCCTTTTTTTTTTTTTTAAGATTTTATTTATTTATTCATGAGAGACAGAGAGAGAGAAGCAGAGACACAGGCAGAGGGAGAAGCAGGCTCCATGCTCCCTGACGTGGGACTCGATCCCAGGTCTCCAGGATCAGGCCCTGGGCTGAAGGCGGCACTAAACCACTGAGCCACCTGGGCTGCCCTATCGACCCTAATCCTATACAGATATGACTACACTATATAATTTGATCCTCATAGGATCAAACATATTATGAATTAAATTATAAGAAGTTATTTACCTAATGGAATAAAGTCTGTAGGTAAACAGGCATGTGCTTAATGCCTCCTGCCAACCATTCACTAAGGAATCTAAGAGTTATCTTAAAGGCTCCAATCACTCCACAAAGCTTTGTTTCCTCCTGTAGGCCAACTCTGTGAAGTCACACTTGAGGCTATGTAAGAATTCTTATCCACAGGACGCCTGGGTGGGTCAGTGGTTGAGCGTCTGCCTTCGGGCCCAGGGTGTGATCCGGAGGTCCTGGGATCGAGTCCCATGTCAGGCTCCCTGCATGGAGCCTGCTTTTCCCTCTGCCTGGGTCTCTGCCTCTCTCTCTCTCTCTCTCTCTCTCTCTGTCTCCCATGAATGAATAAATAAAATCTTAAAAAAAAAAAAAAAAGAATTCTTAACCAGGATTACACACACACAAAAGCCTCTACACTCTAAAGTGGTAAAAGATATTTTCAATGGCAATTTTTAGTATTCCAGATTTTTAGTTTCAGGATCCCACACCCACTTCACAGATTAAATGCATCCGTGTATACTGTGCATTTACAATAGTAGTTCATGCATATTTCACGTGCAAAACAAATGTCAATCTTAAATCTAAATGTAACCTCTAAACAATTACAGCATATAATATTAATATCTCTTGGCATTTTCCAACGTTGCTCTTTCTATGACTTTAGAAACCAGGTTAATCAATCACTGAATCTCAAAATTAGCCTGAAAACAACACTTAACTCTATAATAAAGTTTTTTTTTTCTGCATATACAGCTATCAACATTCTCTGTGTAATAAAAAACAATGTTTTGTTTGTTTCCAGATACTCCATAAGCTTACTTACTTCATCGAAGGTGGTATAAAGAGCCGTTGACTTCAGAAAAGGAAAGAAAAGAAACAATGAAAACAAAATGTAAGTAAATGACATTATCCAAAGGAGGAAAGACAATTCCAGTAGATGGCCACAAACATGAAACCTTCTTCTGAAAATAAATGTTCACTTAGCAACGGTCTGGGAAGAATGTCATTGACCTAAAACATCACTAAAGACAAGAAAATATGGTGAATGGGTGTGGGAGCCTGGTCACAGCTGCTCTCACAGGTGCTTCAGCTCAGGGATGCCCATCACCTCACAGGCACGCCCCACCCACGCGGCATTTTGGCTGACGGCACACGAGTGAGCACAACTGGGTGGTGTCACATGCTTCCTGGTGTCACAGGTCTCGTCTACAGACACGGGCTCTGGAGCTGGCTGCCTCAACATCCACTCCTGGCTTCCGCGCCTCCCAGCAGCGAGACCCTGAGCACCTGCATATGCAGGTTTCTCTGCAGAATGGGACACGAGTGATGCCCACCTCGGAAGACTGCTGGGGAATTCTGTAAGTTTTTACACACATTATGATGAAATCAGCATTTTGCGGAAGCCAGCTCTCAAGAAAAACCTCTCACATATTCACACTTGTTAGTTTTTTCAATTTAACATTATGAAATTTCTTTCAACATTTATTATGGTATAGGATACTTATAAAGTCTGCATCTTTAGCTCCCAAACCTACAGTACTGACCCTAAAATTCTTCCTGAGCTCTTAATATCTAATTTCTACGAAATACCCCCAGTACTTCCTCAAAAGAGCTGAACTTTTCATTATCTTCACAAACTGCGTGCACTAACGTCTACCTCGTTTTATGGAATTGGTATACACGTCTTATTCCTCACTCTTCGTACATAAGCTCCTTAAAAGTCACAACGTCTTACTCATCCCGATCTTCCCCTGATCTCAGAGACCTTATGCTGGAAGTATTCAGTCAACGGTAGCAGCGTGTGCACAGCCTTCACAGCTTTATAAATAAAGCATTTCCATGTGTGCTGCCTTATAAATAAACTGATGCCACGTTTATTCTGAATGAGAGCCTGGCCTACAATTTCAGACATTCTTTGTTAAATTACTTCCCATGTGGAAACGGTCCTGCTATGAGCTTGTGTGGTCAGCCAACGAGTAAGGAAATGTGTCCCCACCGCACAGCTGCAGGTAACGGCCCACCAGCCAGCGCTCGGGTGAGGGTGCTCTCCACACCACTGCCCACACCACACTGGGCACAGCCACGGACAGGCACGCACCGGGGGACACGGCCGCGCACCCCGCTCCACAGGAACCCGAACAGGAACGTGCCTGTCCCGACAGGAATGTACATCAGGCAGAAAAGCACTCGAGGTAAGGTGGATGCAGGAAGAGGAGGTGCTGAACCTGGGTCCTTGAGGCTCCCGGGGTCACTAATGTGGCCTGAAGGGGCAAAGCTGGAGAAAGACACACACATGCAGGTCTGGGGTGGGCTGGGTGGCGCCGGAGGAATCTGAAGGGAACAGCCCGCATGCTGGGCCACGCCGAGTCAGGCACGCCCCAGGCAAGGGCGAAGCTCCCGTGGGTCCTGGGGGCCGTGAAAATGCTTTAAGTGGATGAGCCCCCAGCAAATGGAGACGTTTTGTCAGTTTATAAAACAATCTGTGGCCATGAGGACAGATCAGAGAAGGAAGAGCATCAGGAGGGACGCCAGGAGAGCGGGCGGGCACGGTGGGACACTGAGTGGACGGAGGGGACCTGGCCCGGGTAGAGGCCACTGCCCAGCGCCTGAGCAGCAAGGAATTGAAGGAATACCAGAGAACACAGTTGTGGAAGAAAAAGTGAGCTCCTTAGAAACCAAGTGGTTTGAGGCCTGGGGAACACCCCCATCGCCCCTGTGCAGGCAGGTGTGAGCCCACCTCGGGGGTGGAAGAGCTGAGTCCGAGGGGGCCATCCCGGGGACGCGCTGCCCTTTCCCGCCACACACAGCTGTCCTGGCGCTGCTCTGGCCCCATCACCAGCTCCGTGTGCGGGACTTTCACTTTCGTCAGGCTCCCAGGATTTTCCAGTTGTTCCCATGGGACTAAGATCTCCCAGGGCCGATCCAGGGAGCGCAGGGTTGGGAACAGAATTTTGAGGAATGCCTCTGGAAAGGGGCAGAAAGAGGAAGCTGACCTAGTGAAAGGTACGGCGGCCACTGCTGTTGGCCCGGCACAGCCCCCAGGCCTCTTCCCTCCACTTCTGACAGGTAACCGGGTGGACGGCCCCCCAGAAGCTTCTGCACGCCTCCCAGCCCTGCTGGCCCAGAGGAAGGTGTGTCCTTCAGCAGAGCCACCTCACGGGGCTACAAGGGGACGCCGGCGGGAATGGCTACAGAGAGGAAATAAGTGCTCTCTCCCTTTATGGCAGTGAGCTTGGAATACTTGGAAATACTACACAACCAGCAAAACAGTCACAAAAAGCAATTATGCCATATAAAATCATTATAACAGGAAGCCACCAAACATGACACTTAAACCTTCCAAAGCAAATTCTTAGCTAAAAAATTCATTTAACGGTAAACAAAAATGAGATATTATAGACTTTTAATTAGGCACAGAAACCGTCAGCACAGCGGCAACCACCGTCAATCACTAAAGCACGTGTACCTCAGCGGTCAGAAGTCTTTCCGGACACTCGTTAACGGTGGCAAAAACTCTCCTGAGTCCCGTCTCCAGCTGAGTCAGTAACAACATGGCGCAGTCAGCAAACCTGTGAAATGAAAGGAAAATCTCAGGCTTTAAAAGTGAACACTGGCACCAACCCCAAATAACGGAGCTTTATTCCAGATATTACCGTGTGTGCACAAAGCCGGGGGGTGGGGGGTGACAGTACTCACTGGCATGGGAAACAACATGGAATCACAGTCTCCTTAGACTCGGGATTTTTAAATCTATTTTTCACTGTTGTGACGTAAGATGGAACACGCTTAGAAGCTCCAAGGTAGGGCAGCCCCCGTGGTGCAGTGGTTTGGCGCCGCCTACAGCCCAGGGTGTGGTCCTGGAGACCCAGGATCAAGTCCCGTGTCAGGTTCCCCGCATGGGGCCTGCTTCTCCCCCTGCCTGAATCTCTGCCTCTCTCTGTGTGTCTCATGAATGAATGAATGAATGAATGAATGAATAAATAAATAAATAAATAAATAAATAAAATCTTTAAAAAAAAAAATAGAAGCTCCAAGGGAATAAAACGTCATCAAAGACCTGCCTAAGTCTTCTCATCACTTGCAAGAAATGCTCAAATACCAGGATTTCGGTGGGTTTTCAGGGTACGAACAAATGTAGACAACAGGACCTGGAGGAAGAGAAAGGCCACGGGCCTTCTGAACAACTCGTGCATCTGCTCTGCTCCCCAGGAAACAGAATCGAATGTACCTCCTCGTTTCAGGGTTAAGATTTCATTTATTCATTTGGGAGAGAGAATGAGAGCGAACGAGAGAGTGGGGAGAGAGAGAGAGAGAGCACAAGCAGGGGCGGAGGGAGAGGATGACGCAGACTCCTCAATGAGCAGGGAGCCCAATGTGGGATGCGATCCCAGGACCCTAGGATCACGCCCTGAGCCGAAGGCAGATGCTCAACCGCTGAGCCCCCCGGACGCCCCTGTTTCAGGATTCTTTAAGGTGGGACACACGGTTCTCTCAGAGTAAAAACTCAACAGATACTGAAAAGTTGATTCCCAGCAGTGATTGTCAGGGGCGAGGGCAGCAGCAGGCTGACGCGTAGCACGCAACCCTCCTGAGAGCGAGCGGCCTCCGTGCCGTCGGGAACCCAGGCTTACCTGTGTGATCTGAACCTGATTAATGCAGCTTCCCAGTACGGCAACATGACCTTCGATACGAAAGTGGATTTCTTCACCACCTCTTCTAACACGGAAAGTACCTCAGAAGTGACATCTGCAAAATAACAAGTATTTTTAAGCACAGTCACCCTAATCCGTGGAAGAGCACATCGATGTAAGCAGAGTCGGGTGGGATGCCCATGAGCCGACCCCTGCAGTGGATGACCCAGGGCCCCCGGGGCCGGCGCCCATGCCATCAGACCACCCGGCCAGGGCCAGAGTCGGAGGTGAGCACAGCACCCCCCAGGGCAAGGGGACGCACAAGACGCCACAGCTGTGAGCACAGGACGTCAGGGCTGACCTGCTGACCACACTGACCAAGAGGGGGAAGATACAGAGGAGCGACAGTGACCCCTGGGGCAAACTACGGACTCTGCGTGTCCTTGCTAATGAAGATGCCTCTGGAGGGGGTGTGGATGAGAGGATATGCAGCTGTGCAGGTGCCGGTTGGGGCGCGGAATCTCTGCGCCTCCCTCTCCACTGTGTCCATTTTGTTCCAAACTTAAAACTGCTCTAAGAAACAAGGTCTTAAAAAGTATGTATTATTGGCAGTCAGCAGCCAAAGGGTCCATGGCACAAAAAGACTAGGGCCTCGGGACCCTAGGATCTGGGCTATTCCCACCAGGATTTACATCAGAAACTCAGCTCCCACGGCTCTGCTGCTGCAGCGGACAAGGAATGGGCTCGGAGCAAACACGGTTTGACGGCACTTTCAAAGTGTCGTGTCCCCACCCCCATTAATCTGGTAAATGGATGGGATCCCTGGGTGGCGCAGCGGTTTAGCGCCTGCCTTTGGCCCAGGGCGCGATCCTGGAGACCCAGGATCGAATCCCACGTCGGGCTCCCGGTGCATGGAGCCTGCTTCTCCCTCTGCCTATGTCTCTGCCTCTCTCTCTCTCTGTGTGACTATCATAAATAAATAAAAATTTAAAAAAACTTTAAAAAAAAAATCTGGTAAATGGCTTTGTCATGAAAATAAAAGAGACAGCAGAGGAGACCACCTGTGCTGTCGGCGCTTCCGGCACCAGGACCGCGCACAAAGGAGCAGGGAATGCACGTTACACAAAGGTCCGGAGCCAGCCTCCCTCAACGCGCTGGAGGCAGAACTACCCGGACACTAGCAAGTACTCCCGCACCACGACCCCCACCCCGGGGCGCTGCGGGGGACGCAGGTTCCGTGGAGCAAAGCGGAAGAGGCTCCTCACGCATCTTCTGGCGTCTGGAGCAGCAGCAGTGCGCCCAGGGCGCCCGGGGCCATCTGCTACTCCCTGACCGTGCACCTCTCCCTATGAGGACACAGTCCGGCACAAGGTGCATGTGGTACTTGCCGGGGAAAACGGCCCACTCCTCCAGGCCTGTAAGGGCTACGAGAGGTCGGCACGCCAGCACAGCCTCCGTTCGCTGCAAGTACCTCTCCAGCAGCTGGCCCAGTCCCGCCGTCAACAGTATCATCACTGAACAGTATCTAGTGCAAAACGCGCAGGATCTGTTAGGGAAATGAACTGACATACAGATAAAAAGGTCTGCCTTCCAGAAAACAAGTTTAAGATAAGAGGCTACACCAGCAGTGAACTGCAGGAGGGCCCCGCTGTGGCCCTGAGCTGCACAAGGGCTGGGCACTCGCCAGTGCGGGTCTCGGGGTCCCCCACTCCCCACCCCCCACCCCTGCACCTCCACGAGGCTCAGCCTCACAGCTGCCTCTGCGTGGAAGTCAGTGGTGACCGACCTCATCACCACTCCAGGTGTTCATCAACCTCAGTCTGATCTTCACATTCCTGCCTCAAACTCTCTCATCTTTCCCCAAACACGCTTTTCCCCAAAAGAAAATTCAAGATAAAACAAACTCTTAAGTAGGTCGAAGAGAGAATTACTTTCCCCATAACGTACTTTGGGGGGATTTCATGAGGGGACGCGAAGCCATGCCATAGGATGTTCCGCAGGTTCAGGCCACAGGGAGATCCGATGAAGACTTTGAGCACGTCCATCTGACCAGGTCAAGAACAGGGTACTGAACAGTGAAATCATCACTGACAGGCGGATAAACCGATAGAGTAGCGCAAAAACGTCTGCGTTCCTCTTCGACGCCCTGCCTGGCACACGGCACTCATGGTGACAGCACTCAAGCGACCTTTGCTGGGCACTTTGTGTGTCAGACGCAGCTTGTGTGTGTCTCACACCCACTATCCTCAGGACCAGCCCCGGGGGCACTACTCCCGCCCCGCTCTGCAGAGCAGCGTCCAAGCACGGAGAGCTGCAAGCCGGCCTCAGGGCCCCGAGCTACCAACGGGGATGTGCATGCCAGCTCCACTGCCTTCATCCTGTCTGCGAACCTGCTCCCCAGGTGGGCAGAGGTGCGGGGAGGGCAGCGTGCCTGCGTGGGCAGACCCGGAAGGTGGCCCCAAGTGGCGGGCCCGTGGCCCACTGACACCCCAGCCCAACGGGCGAGCACCCCTGGAAACTCCCAGACTCTGCTACGAAGGAAAGATGCCCAGTATGGGATCCTGCTCATCAGACGGCAAGAGCCATGCACGATCTCTGGGTTTGGGGCCACACTTTGGAACGGATACAGGAAAAATGTAAGATAGCAGAAACTAAAGAAACTCGAAACCAAGTCACACGATGAGAACAGTGAGCCTCCAGAAGGTGCAGGGAAGGGACGGGAGCGGTGTTCAGCTGCCTGAAGGACTCTCGCTGAGCGGAGGAAACAGATGCATTCTGAATTTCTCCCAAAGGGCAGGACAAGCCAGAGCGGAAGCTACAGAGAGGGGTCTCAACCGAGCATCAGAACCCTCAGCAACTCCAGAAACTCTTCACGCTCACACCAATTTTTAAGACTTGGAGAGTAATTATCTAGTATTGATAGTCATAATAATACTCTTTTAATTACATTTATTCTCATTTACTACTTTAATTCCCGTTCATGCCATGTGAGCAATCAGAAGTACACAGGCCGATGAGCTAGAGAACTATCGGGGGCTGAATGTGGCTGAAAGTCGGCAAAAGGCTAAGAGCAGCCAGGCGGACAGCGCAGAGCAGCTCCAAACAACGGGAATTCTGGGCCTGATCTCTCTCCGTGTTCTCCACTACGGAAGGGACCTTGAAGCTGACCACGAACCAGATTCAGGCACTAAAGAGACTTCTTATCCAAGAACAAGGAGTCTAGCTGGTAACATATTACACGAGCATCATAAACACCCCCGGGCTCGGCGAGCTCACCTGGGGCAGGGTGCTACCCTGGCTTCCTTCCGCACCTTGACCCCCCTCACCCAGTGCCCAAGGGTTGTTCATTAGTCTTAAACAACCTTGGTCACGTGGCCTGTAGAAGAGTTTGGAAAAGTACACAGCTCTGCATGTTTTTAAACTGACATCTAATTTTCTCTGCCGTTAAGTCTGAACAGTTGCACAAGGGCATAAATTCCCACATTTTAAAAAAATTGAGATTTTATGATAAAACTATATCACTCCCTAAATGGTTAAAGTTTTATTCTAGAATGAGTTGTTATCATTAGAATTACTAATGCGTAATTCTTGAAAGCACTAGAGCTCAAATGGTCCATCTGGCATCCCCAGAGCACGCGGCGGCAGCGCAGAGGCCACGCCACCACGTTCACTCAATGTAGGGAAGGCCTGTCTTGTGGCTGGAAAAGCGGCAATTCTGAAAGGAGAACGTGCTTGAGTTACAGCTATAGTTAGTTCTTCCTAATGCCAAACCCGTGTTGGAGGAACGAAAGCCTAGCTGTGTTGTGTCCATCAGCTTCAGAGGGACGAGCTTACCACAGGCCGTCCAAAGACCTCAGCAAGCTCCTCAGATGCGAGAAGATCTCTCAAAAGAAAGGGGCATTCCTTCCCGTTCAGTAAAAATACCTAAAATTCAAACAAGGATTGTATCAGAGTTGATGACGATGAGCCCAACAATATGAAGAAAAAACTCACCCATAAAGCCACTGTTTGTACAAATGAGGGAGAACAGCACTGGAGACACCAGAGTTTTGATTTTGTGATCGTTCACAAAGAAAAATATTAAACATCTGTGCCAAATGAATACATTTCACAGGGAAACGATAACTAAAAATCAAGAAATTTGGGTACAGCTGTAGCAGCGTTATGTTCATTCAGACGCTTTAATAAAGCAACAAAGGAAGACTTCGCACACTTACATCGCCCAGAGCCCGTTCCAGACACGCCGTCAGCTTCATCAAGCCGAGAGGAAGAGCCGGAGCCCCAGGGGTTTCCAGAGCATCAATCAGTTCAGGAAATAACTGTGGGGAATAAGACACACCTTAGAATGTGTGCTCAGCAAGAAATATCTCCGAGAATAGCAGTACTCTTGATGAAATTCAAACTTCTAAAGGCCTCAACCAGTATATTTTCATGACTTTTTGGTATAGGTAAACAATTTCTGTATAAATATACAGTTGACCCCTGAACACGGGTTTGAACTCCACAGGTCGGCTTATATGTGGATTTTTTCTGTAAATAGAGTACACAATTATATTTTTCTCTTCCTTATGATTTTCTTAATGACTTTTCTCTGGCTAACTTTATCGTCAAAATACAGTATATAAAACATCAGACATACAAAACACACGTTAATGGGACTGCCTACGTTAGGCTTGTGGTCAAGACTAGGCTCTTAGCCGTTCAGCTCTGCGGGAGTCAAAACTTACATGCAGATTTCTGACTGCAAGGGGGTAGGCATCCTTAACCCCTGTGTGGTTCAAGACTCAACTGTAACAGTACATAAAGAATCTTAAAAATGTTTAATATCTAAGGAATTTTGAAAGTTTTTTCTTCCTTTAAAATTTTTTTCATTAGATTTATTGAAAGCAATAAATCTGACATAACCGTAAACATTTTGACCTAAATCTTGTTTCCCATTTTGATTAGCTCGTAGAAGTAGATAAGTGTGAGGCAGTCCTGAGAGCCGTTACAAGGGGAGAAGCGATGACCCTTCTTCTCCATGTCAGGAAATTCAAAGTATTTTAGACTTAGAGCGTGTATGGTTACTGCTCTATTGTGGTCATTAAATGCGCCAAGTGCACCAACCGACCAACCAGCTTAGGTGGCCTCGCGCTGCTACTCCTCCCCCGTCCCCATTTGCCCTCCACAAGCCAAGCTCCCCACCTTATTTCCTTGTCCCACCATCTCAAGAACACCTTTCTGTCTGTCCATAATGTGTCCGCTTTTCCCTGGAGCAGCACGTTCTCATCTGTCCCCGGGCCAGTGCCCACACACCCAGCTACCTCCCCAACCTCCAGTTTGGACAGTGCAGCAAAAACCTTCCTTTGCTCCAAGATTCTCAGCTCAGGCCATGGAGACTGCGTAACAGTCTGTTTCCCTCGCAACCTGAGCCATTTCACAGGTGGAGGCCTTGGTGGATGGAGGAGACCCTTTAAGATTAGCAGGTAATGAGGGCCTCAAAGCGGACTTTGCAGGGTCTCTTATTTCTCAAGGTTGTTCACAAGCCAAACCTCTGGAAAATCTGTCCACTGCAGCCACGGCATGTATCGAATTTCAAACTGCCCCTTGGTCAGAGATAACAAGTGTGAGTGGACAGCCGCACACACGGGGCCCAGCAGCATCACGCTTCCCCGGTAATCCAGACTCTGCGCTTCAGGGGTAAGAGGACAAGTGTTAGTGCCACAGCTCCCTATCATGGGATGAAAATGCCTAAAGCATCAAAGAAAAAGTACTTTAATTATGAAGTTTCCACAAAATCAACAACAGGTTTATTGTTGAAATTACAGTAAAGATATTGTTGGATACTCAGATATTGTTGGAAGTAAATTACATGGTGCTTATCTGATGATAAAGAAAAAATATACACATCCGTAGGGTTTGGAAAATCCAAAAAGGTTAATCAAGAGAAAATGTTTTCTTTACTTGTTCATTAGTTTATACGTACTCAGGTTTATACTGTATATATGATATTTTAACCTGATTCTTTATACTTGATATTGTTAGACGGTAAGATTTCAATGACAATTATTTTAAAACATTTGAATTTTAATTTTCTGATAAATTTGAAACTGAACATTCACACAGTTCACACCCAAAACATATGAAAATGTGAAGGTCTCCCTTGGCCATCCAGTTCTCTTTCCTATAGCAACTGCTGTTATCAATTCCTCGGGCATATTTAGAAATATTCATGTGCATACAAGTAAATACAATTACATGCTGTTCCAATTTTTTCACTTAGCCACGTAGCTCTGAGAGATGGGCTCATTCTTTCCCGTAACCACATGACGTTCATATTTACTCTACTGTTCCCCTACTGCTGTATATTTTGCTGTTTCCAATGTTTTGGGCTTTTTTTTTTTTTTTTCATTTTTGCCTACAAAACGGCACCAAGAGTAGCATTACCCAAACGCTCTTTCATTTCACACCTCTGAGTGTGCCAGTCTCATAAATCCCTGGGATGAAATCGCTGGGCAAGACCACATTCGTCTGTAACTTTTGTAACTATTAATAAATTTCTCAATCCACATCCCTGCTCTAAAAAATGTACAATAATGCCTGGAATATTTACAACAGCTGTACAGTGTATTACTGGTCATTTCCTACCCCCAATTCATTGGATTCCTACTTTCTTCTGTTTCCCACCTGGACTGCCGGCCTAGAGCAAGAGCTAGACTGAGCCACCTGCAGCCCTCCTACACGTGGCTTCCCCGGCCTCAGTCCCTCCCTTGTCACCTGATCCTCCTCCTCTTCTGAGCTAGGTCTGTATTACAACAACCTAGAACTAAGAGAAGCAATGGTCAGAAAGGAAAATTTTACAGTCAAAACATTTATTTTAAAAATTGTATTTATTTATTCATGAGACACACAGAGAGAGAGGCAGAGACACAGGCAGAGGGAGAAGCAAGCTCCATGCCGGAGCCCGATGTGGGACTCGAACCCAGGACCCCAGGATCACGCCCTGGGCCAAAGGCAGACGCTCAACCGCTGAGCCAGCCAGGTTCCCTCACTCAAGACACATTTTAAACGGAACAGGCAGACAGATGCTTGGGGTGCAGAGAACATACAGACCTGATTCTGTATAAACCACACAGGCTGTGATTGTCTGCCAGCATACTTCACCCCTCTGAGTCACAATGCTGTTGATATCACAACTGTCTTTGACTTCAAACCCGAGTTTACAGATCATATCATAGACAGAGGGAGAAAGACAAGTGGTAATTGGATCCTCTATCAGCATCTGAAATATAAAACATAGAAGACACTATTTAAAAGAAATGAAAACAGAGGGGTATCAATTATACATTCAAGTCATAAGAAAGTCCTGTTTCATCTTTAGGACAGAATATACTCGGGTATAGCTACTGCTAACACACTTTCTAACTACCATGAGAGCTGTGTTCAAAATACTGTGATTATTAATTACAGATAGTTTACAGAAACTTTTTCAAATAAATGTTGAAGATGTGAAATCATTAATAATATGTTAGGAGTTTACAGAAGCTTGGCACGTCTTACAGATAGTGCATCGTTCCTTTCAGTCAGTGTTCCTGTACTGTCTCAAAGCTATCAAAATGAGTAATTTTTTTAAATGTGGAATGGAAAGGCAGAAAATCAAGCATCATGAACTAAAATGTCAATGAAAAGCATACTTCTGACTCTTTATGTGGTGTCAGAAGTGCCACACTGCTTCCATGTGAAGGATTCAATAATACTCAAATCCTCATAATTAGCCCCACATCACACTAACATCATCTTATAAACCTGCAAAGGAGTCACTCTCTGGGACTAAACTTATGGGGTCTTCATCTGATCAAGTCAAGGGGAGTCTGCTTTAACATTACAGATTAAGCCCCAGCAGTTCCTATTTTGGAAGCTGGCCACTTAGAGTTTTTGCACCCCACTCAGTATCACCGTGACACCATCCACTCCTCCCGTCCCCTAGAAGCCTCACTCCCCACTCAGCCCTGCTGTCAACCGTTCTTCCACAGACCCAAGCAATGCAGATATTGCCCCAGAAACGTGCACCGAATAACCAGTGATGCTGTGACCCTACAACCCCACGCTGCAGCCTGGCCTTCCTCCCCACCTTCTGTTCCTCGAGCTCCTCCCTGGCAGCAGCAGAGCCTCCGACCACAGTAGCTGAGTCCAGGCCACAGTTTTCCCAGCACCTGCAGGCCCGGCGTCCTCCCCACCAGCTGTCCAGTGCCTGCCCTTCAAACGTCTGCCTCCCAGAAATGCCAGGCCCAACCACATAGCCACCTCCTCCTTAGAGATCCAGGTTCCAACAACACGGGACCTTCCACTCAGTCTCCAGGTTGTCAAATTCCAAGCACTTCCCTGGTTCTCAGTCCTGCAGGTAGGATCCGCTTCCTGCAGCAGCCGCCTGTACAGGCCGCTCCTTATTCTTTTGTAACAATTATCTCCCTTCAGAAACTAGTGTGGTTTGTCCTCCAACTGATACAGAAACATAACCCCAAAGGGCTACTTTGATAACAAAAAGGGACTCCTTGCATTTTTAAAAAGCATTGAACTCTAAAGCAAGGAGCTGTGTCTGCACAAAAGCCCATCTACTCTACTACTGCAGCCCCTGGATATGGCAACAGAGGCTTCAAGAAATGCCTTTTTTTTTTTTTTGGTTGTATTTGCCCCATCGATAGAGTTGCTGCTCAGCCTTCACCAAACTGGGAGATCCTGGGGCACCAAGGTCAGGTTCCCCAGGACACCACGAGCCCCTGGCACACAGAAATCCTAGATAAGCTGCAGCGCTGCCACTGGTGTATTTCCTGCATCCTCCGTCTGGGAGCCAGGAACCCGCCAGCCTGCCCGTATGCACCCGCGCCGTCCCTGCGCACACGCGCCTCCCGTGTGCACCCGTGTCGCCCCCCCCCCGTGTGGAGCTGCGCGCCCCTGTGTGCACCTGCCCCCCCGTGTGCACCCGCCCCCCGTGCGCCTGTGCGCCCCGTGTACCGCCCCCCCCGTGTGCACCTGCACGCCCCCGTGTACCCTGCGCCCCCGTGTGCACCTGCGCGCCCCCGTGTGCACCTGTGCGCCTCCGTGTGCACCCGCCCCCCCGTGTGCACCTGCGCGCCACCGTGTGCACCCGCCCCCCCCGTGTGCGCCTGTGCGCCCCCGTGTACCCGCCCCCCGTGTGCACCTGCGCGCCCCGTGTGCCCCTGCCACCCCGTGTGCACCTGCGCCCGCCCTCACCTTTCCTCCTCCGTGCGTCAGTTTCCCGTCCAGGACCGCGCGCGGTGCTGCTAGTGACCTGCGCGGAGGCGCCGCCCTCTGAGCCCTTCCCTGACCGGGGCACCCCCTGCTTCCAGGGCCCGTCCGCCGAGCCTCCGCGTTGGCTGCCAGGGGGCAGCACGGAGAGGGCTCGAAGGCTCCGACGCAGAGCGGCCCAGGGCTTCCGCTCGACCGCGTGAGGGCAGAAAGGAGATGGAACGTGAGGCAACCCCGTCTCGCCCGACCTACAGCCCGAGCCCGTGATGTGGTTTTGCTCCCCAAGTGGCCTAGAAACGTCCCACTTCCCGCGCGGGGGTCACGGCCACGGAGCTTCAGTTTGCTCAGTGCACGACGCAGGGGACGCGCCCTCCGGAGCACGAGGGCACGGAGCCCCGCGCCTCAGTCTGCACGCAGACGCTGGACGCTCGTCCTCGGGGGGCGGGGAACAGCGCCGCAGGCGCGATCCGGGGGCAGCCTCGGGGCAGGACCGGCTTCTGCGCAGCCGCAGACCCGCGCCGGCCAGACCACCCGCTTCCGCCGCGGCGCGGGCGCTGCGCCTCCTGCAGCCGGTGTCGCGCCGGCCGCGCTCGGGCGCAGCCCCGACGACCGCCGCCCGCCGCCGTCACTTCCGGTTCCTGGCGGCCGGCGCGGAGGGATGACGCGCGCCTCGCCTCGCCCCCCCCCCCCCGGGGGCCCGCACTTGCGGCTGGCGCGGCGCACGCGCGGGACTTGAGCTCTCGCGGGAAGCGGCCCGGACGTTAGGGGCGGGTGGAGGCGGGCCGCTGGGCGTGGCGGCGAGAGGAGGCACATGGACAGGCGCGGGCGGGGCGGGAAGCCGGCCTCGAGCCCGGCCCCTCAGCCGCCGCTGACGCCGCCGCAGCCCCGGAAGGAGAGGAGGCCCAGCATGTTCGAGAAGGAGGCAGTGAGTGCGGGGGCGGGGAGGGCCTCGGTGAGCGGCCCGCTGCCCTCGTGCCCCCAGCGCGCGCCTGGGGGGCCTCGCGCTCCCGACGGGACCTCGCGCTCCCCACGGGGCCTCGCGCTCCCGACGGGCCTCGCGCTCCCGACGGGGCCTCGCGCTCCCCACGGGACCTCGTGCTCTCGAGGGGCCTCGCGCTCCCGACGGGGCCTCGCGCTCCCCACGGGACCTCGCGCTCCCCACGGGACCTCGTGCTCCTGATGGGGCAGACCCACGCTCCTGATGGGACCTCGCGCCCCTGACGGGGCCTCGTGCCATCACCAGGACGTCGTGCCATGACCCGAGCCTCGCGCTCCGGGCGACCCGCGCAGGCGTGGACAGCAGCGCACATGTGCTGCGTTTCGAGGACAAGCGTCCGATATGTGGAGCTTTCAGAAGCAGCTGCAGTCCCCGTATTTGAGGGACCTGCAGGAGAAAAAAATAAATGCAGGACTTACTGTCTGGAATTAATGGAGGATGCCACTCACTTTCCCGGGTGGGATGACACCAGGTTTTGTGTGGGATCCTAGTCCGGAAACCATGACTGCAGTCGAGACTCCTCCTCTTGCTGAGATATTAAGTGAGGAAGGAATTTGTTCAAGGGGACGGAACCATAAGGTCAGAGGGAGACTGGCCCCCTGCGGGGCAACTCGCCTGCTCCTCCCGTGGTTTCCTTTCCCACCTACTTCGTGGGACCCATACTCCAGGCTGAAGGAGAGCAGAGCCTAAATATTTCAAGTAATGAAACAGGAATCAGAACATATCACAGCAATATTTTAGGTTCTTTTTATTTTTTAAATATTATATTATTTATTCCTGAGAGACAGGAGAGAGGGGGCAGAGACACAGGCAGAGGGAGAAGCAGGCTGTCTACGGGGAGCCGGATGCGGGGACTCGACCCTCGATCCTCGGACCCAGGATTGTGACCTGAGCCAAAGGCAGACGGACACCCGCTGAGCCACTCAGGCATCCCAACAATTTAGGTTCTAATGACACCATTTTACAAAGGGAAAAACAGATGAGAGGAGGAAAAATAAAGCAAGTTCACAAAATGAAGAGCACGAGGAGAGCGAGGCCAGAAACCTTACTCTGTTGGAGCTGGAGTTTCATGCTCCCAAAAGCTAAGCTGGGCAGTTTGGCCCCTGAGCAACATGAACTCCAACCACACGGATCTACTTACAGATTTTTTCAATAAATAAGTTTAAAAATTGGAGGGGTATTTGTAACAATTTGGAAAAACATTTCTCTAGCTGACTTTATCGTAAGAATATAATATATAACGTGTGTTAACTAGCTATTTGTATTATTGGCAAGGCTTCTGGTCAGCAGTAGACAATACATTAAGTTTTGGAGGAGTCAAAAGTTAGAGATTTTTTTTTTTTCTTTTACTGGAGGCAGTGGTCAGTCCTAACCTTCGAGCTCAAGGATCAGTGGTGTTGCCTGGTAATAAATCTGTCTCATACATAGATCACTAGCAACAAAGAAAAATTTCTGTATTTTGAGGCAGACAAAGGTGACTTTTAGGAATTACTGCCTGCTAAAGGTCAGAAGTGGTCTTGAAAAATGAGTAAGACTGAATCCTAAAAGATATATATACAGATAGAGATAGAGAGAGATGTTACGTAGACCAAAGTCTAGGAGTAAAGGGACATGGACCAAGGTCATTGTTGCTTATTTGATAGGGCTGTCTTAAAGACCTAGGCTTCTAGGAGTCAGAAATTTTAATAGACCAGAAATTGTGAGGAAACTGAGAATGCATGCCACATATGCTCACTAAATATACCTGAGGACAGTAAGTGCACCGATGTGTAATTTCTAACTTTTGGGTAGTAGACAATTCCTGTGTTCATTGGAAACGTGAAGATACACCACACAATTTAATCAATATAAATGTATTTTAATGTTATATAAGCTGTATCCATTTTTTTCTTCTTCTAGTAATAACATCTCCATTTTCTTTTGGAGGATTAATCCATTCCTCATTGGATAGAGTTTTGATGAACTATCACTCTCTTTGTGTTATAGATGAGAACCAAATATGGCTAATTAGATGAACACTTCATGGAATACTGTAATAAAATGATTGAGATAAATTCAAATTGGGGACAGAATACTGATGTGCGTTGTGTCTGGTTCTGTAACCTTCTCTCCCATTCTGTAAACTCTAACCAAAGATCCCAAAACCTTAAACAGATGACCAAAAAAATGAAGACTTGCTTAGTTTCACTTGCGTACATTTTAAAGTCTTAAATACAAGCAAACAGCCTTTAATTAGATTTTTTAAAATTTATTTAAGACAGAGTGTGTGTGTGCATGAACTGAGGGAAGGGGCAGAGAAAGAGGGAAAAAGCAGACTCCCCACTGAGCAGAGAGCCTGACTTGGGGCTTGATCCCAGGACCCTGGGATCATGACATGAGATGAAGGTAGATGGTTAACCAATCGAGCCGCTCAGGCACTCCAAATAGCCTTTAATTAGTATATTAATATAATAGTAATTGTTACTAATATAGTGGCATCTTATAACTGAATTCCGTTTATTTTAGGATTATAAGCAGGCTCAACATGAGGAAATGCTGTATCACTGGGTTAAAGTCAGGTTATTTTAGTAGATGTGAAAATGTTGATCAGAGGCACCTGGGTGGCTCAGTGGTTGAGGGTCTGCCTTTGGCTCAGGTCACAATCCAGGGGTCCTGGGATCCAGTCCCACATCGGGCTCCTCATAGGGAGTCTGCTTCTCCCTCTGCCTGTGTCTCTGCCTCTCTCTCTGTCTCTCATGAATAAATTTTTAAAAAAGTTGATCATATTTAAGGCATTCCTCATTTTTAGAATTAGATTTTTCTGTAATGAAGAGATAAAATAATGAATAAAAGGAAAACTGAATCAAAAGGCCAAAATTATGGGATGCCTGGGTAACTCAGCAGTTGGACTCCTGCCTTCGGCTCAGGTAGTAATTCTGGAGACCTGGGATCGAGTTCCACGTCGGGCTTCCTGCATGGAGCCTGCTTCTCCCTCTGCCTGTGTCTCTGCCTCTCTCTGTGTGTGTCTCTCTATGTGTGTCTCATTAATAAATAAATAATTCTTAAAAAGAGGATCAAAATTATATATAAGGAAGAAATGGTAAGTTGTGAGGTTTCAGTATGTTAGAATCTGTTATTTTCAAACCATGCATGCATGCTCTATCCCCAAGGGACTCATTAGAGTTGGAAGCCACTGTAGTTACAAATACATTGTAGCTGTATCCCTTGAGTATATTGTGTGTGTTTGGGGGGGGGGAGGTGGCAATTACTCTAGAGAGGCATTCTCTGAATAGAACATAATAAAGTTTGTTTTTAAGAGGTTTAAGGAGCAAATAATACCTCTTTTCTCTAACTAAAACATAATGCAGTCTGGTGAATAAAACAGAGTTTTGATGGACTTCAACTAGCAGACAACATGGAGTAACTCCTACCGGAAACTATTGAAAGTATTTTGCATGTGAGAAGGAAATAAGTTTGGGGGGTCAGAGGGCAGACTATTATGTCTCATCATGTCCCCTCAAAATGCCTATGTTGAAGTCCTAATCCCTGGTACCTCAGGATGTGACTGTATTTGGAGACAGAGCCTTTATTTATTTTTTAAAGATTTTATTTATTTATTCATGAGAGACACACAGAGAGAGAGGCAGAGACACAGGCAGAGGGAGAAGCAGGGTCCCTGCAAGGAGCCCAAGATGGGACTTGATCCCGGGACCCAGGGATCATGATCTGAGCCAAAGGCAGAGGTTCAACGACTGAGCCACCCAGGGGCTCCTGCAGACAGAACCTTTAAAGAGATAATTAAGTTAAAATGGAGTCATTAGGAACCAAGAAACAGACTCTTTTTTTTTTTTTTGAAACAGACTCTTAAGTATAGAGAACCCACTGGTGATCACCAGCAGGGTAGTGGGTGGAATGATGGGAGAAATAGGTGATGGGGATTAGGATTACACATATCATGATGAGCACTGAGTCATCTACAAAAGTGTTGAGTGACTATATTGTACCCCTGAAACTAATATAACACTGTATGTTAACTACCCAGAATTTTTAAAAAAAAAATTAAAAAGAAGAATGACTTATATGGATTATACATTAACCAGTAAATTATTTATTTTTTTTAATTTATAAAAACTATTTAAAAGAGCACTTTTAAACTTCTCATTTCTTTTTAAAATTCTGTTATACAAAAGTTTATCCCCAAGTATAAAGACTTTTTAAGTATCCTTTTTTAAAAATTTTTTAAATTATTTATTTATGATAGTCACACACACACACAGAGAGAGAGAGAGAGAGAGAGAGGCAGAGACACAGGCAGAGGGAGAAGCAGGCTCCATGCACCGGGAGCCCGGCGTGGGATTCGATCCCGGGTCTCCAGGATCGCGCCCTGGGCCAAAGGCAGGCGCTAAACCGCTGCGCCACCCAGGGAACCCATGACGAGAGATTAGAACACAGGACAAACAGAGGGATGACCATATGAGGACATGTCAAAATGCTGGTGGGGCACCTGGATGGCTCAGTGGTTGAGCATCTGCCTTTGGCTTAGGGAGTGACCCCGGGGTCCTGGGATCGAGTCCCACATCGGGCTCCCCATCGGGAGCCTGCTTCTCCCTCTGCCTGTGTCTCTGCCTCTCTCTCTCTGTCTCTCATGAATA